GGCAGCATATTACGCCTTGAACTTCTCCTCCCCGTTGATGACCATCCAACAACTGGAAGAGGTTGAAGGACTTGCCCTCATGTTGGACCTTGAGTGCCTCCAAAGTTGGGATGCCTACAAACGAATAGCATGCAAGCCACGTGCCTCAGGTCCTTTCTCTTGGTTTACTGCACGACCCGCTCCTCGGGAGTCAGTTGCTGCTTCTTCTTCTTGGGCACTGCGACGGTCTTGCGGGAAGGGAGGGCTTGCCTTTATCGGAGGGGACGAAGGTGAGGCCGAACGAGGCGAGGGAGGCGAGGCCGGCGGCGGCATCGAGGGTGGGCGCGTCGTCCATGGCGAGCGGGTGGGAGGGTTTTGGGAAAGTGGAGAGAAATGGTTGTCACTGTGCGACCGACTGGCGGGCCAGGGGGGAGTAGGCGCGCGTCCGCTTCGTGTCTGTGCCGACGCAAATCAGACTTAAATTTGTGCCGGGAATGGGTCGGTAGGCGAACGAAAAGCGGACGCACGTCCGTTTGAATCGGCGCGTTGGGCCGACTTTTCTGTCGGCGGCAATCCAAATGGACACGTGCGGACAAAATAGGTTGGCGCGTTAGAGTTGCTTTTAGGGCCAACTCCAACGCACAGAGCACCAGCAAAAACGACGGTCGTGTCCGTTTTTGGCTGTCCGCCCGTAGTGGTGCGTCCACGCATCTTAAAATATATATTTAGTGTGCATTTAATAAAAGAATATAAGGCTTAACAAAATATATTTTTAAATGGTCATATATGTTACAATAAACTTAAAAATTCCACGAAAATCATGGCCATATATTAAAACTAAATTTGAAAAAAAGAAGAAAAAAGTAGATGTGCCCGCTACCACCATGGTTGCCTACAATGACGTCACTATCTTCAGGCGCCGCCTTCCTCGTCCTCGTCATCTATGATGAGGTCAATGTAGGGCGGCAGCTGCCAGGGGTGTGTTGGCAAACCCCAAGCTGGGGCGGGAGCCCCTTGTGGCTGCCATTGCGGGGGGTAGGTTGTGGTGATGGCGGGGGTGGTGACCACGACGCCCATGAGGTTGGCGGCGCTGCCGGTGGTGGTGAGGGCGGGCTGCATGACACTATGGTCGTCCACGACTGTCAGTACAAGGCCGGATTTCATTCCGAGGTGGACGGGTGGTCCTCCATCACCTCCTGCTTCACGTCGAGCTCGAAGACGTAGCAATCGCCGGCGGCCGACAGCGCGTCATCTCCTCCTGCTTGTGCTTGAACTCCTTGTCAGAGTCCTCCATCACGGCTTGCACCAAACGCTCTTCCTCTTCGGCGGTCATGGTGGGAGGTGGTGGTGGCGGCGAGGACGGACGCAACTGTGTCACGCGTTGGGGTTGGCCTAAGTACTTTGATGCTACTGCTAGCTAGTACTCCCTTCGTTCCATTTCTGAGACGAGTAATTTGGAATGGAGGGAGTAGTAGTATTATTGTTCAGCTTTTATGTCTAGCGCGAAAGTGGGAAGCAGTGGTACAAATATACTACTCCTACTATCTGAATGATGTCTATTGGCTAGTACTAATTTTCTTTTGAACAGTTGCGTGGGTAATCTGTAGGTGAGCAGTTGTTTGCAAGTGGGGTCTGCTGAGACTGTGCCCGCCTGCTTCGGCAACATGCACCACCACCACCAGTAACATGCACCACATTTCCTCATAAAATAAAAGAGTCGCCATTTCATTTTGCTCACACCTGATCTTCTTGCCTTTGGTGCCCGTCATTCGTCTCATTCCCTCGAGTCCACGCCCCCCGCACTGTCCGTCTGTCCCAAGTCTCTTAACCACTTCCCACTAAACCACCACCATCAAGAACACAAAACAACAGGGTCCGTCCGTCAAACCAACGTGAATTCCGACCCGACACGCCCCCCTTTCTACCAACCCACACATCTCTTCTCCTCACCCCAACTGAGATCTCGATCGAGTACGAGTAGAAATGGCTTGGATTTTGGATTTTGGTATCTTGGCTCGGCGTGCCGCTCATGGCCGCCCGTATCTCCCCACGATAGCCGCTGCCGCGACGCCAATGGCTGCCTAAACGAAAGCGACGCCGCCACTAGTTTTCGCTTAAAGAAACAGTGGCCAGGGAGGGAGGGAGATCATCGTAGTCGTAGACGATTCCTCCTCCTTCCCCTGCCACTCTGCCACCCCTGCTACCTCTTTCGTTTGTTCCCTCCCTGCCTTCACCACAGCCTTGACGAGCCAGTCAGGCCAGCTAGCGACGACGACCGTTCTCCTCGGCCACTCCAGATCACGGGCCTCCACTCTCCAGGCGACCAGGCATGAGTGTGCGGGGCGACCCGGCGACCGCTGCTCCCGGGGATGAGACGGCGGAGGAGCTGCTGGCGCGCGTCAGGGGGATGGTGCCGCCGGCGGTCGGCGCGGCGACGGCCGCGGAGGGGTTCCCCGGCCGGTGGAAGGCGATCGCGGCCAAGCTGGGCACGCTCCCCGCGCGCCTGTCCGACCTGTCCAGCCACCCCCGCTTCGCCCGGAACGCGCTCTGCCGCGAGCTGCTGCACTCCGTGGCCGCCACGCTCGCCGATGCGGCGGAGCTTGCTTCGCGGTGCCGGGGCCCGCCGAGGGACGGGAAGCTGCAGACGCAGAGCGCCATCGACGCGCTCGGCGCCCGGCTCGACGTCAACCTCCGGGACTGCGCGCTGCTCGTCCGCACCGGCGTGCTGTCCGACTCCGACGCCTCCGCCGTCACCGCCCCGGCGACGGCGCAGGCGGACGTGCGGGAGCTGCTCGCGCGGCTGCAGATCGGGCACGCCGAGGCCAAGAGCCGCGCGGTGGACGGGCTGCTCGACGCGCTCAACCGGGACGAGAAGAGCGTGGTGTCGCTGCTCGGCCGCGCCAACGTGTCCGCGCTGGTGCAGCTGCTCACGGCGCCGGCGCCCAAGGCGCGGGAGAAGGCCGCCATGGTGATATGCCGGCTCGCCGAGTCGGGGGGTGGCGCCTGCGAGGGGCTGCTCGTGTCGGAGGGCGCGCTGCCGCCGCTCATCCGGCTGGCAGAGTCCGGCAGCAGCCTCGTCGGCCGCGAGAAGGCCGTCCTCACGCTGCAGCGCCTCTCCGCGTCCCCCGACGTCGCGCGCGCCATCGCCGGCCACGGCGGCGTGCGCCCGCTCATCGAGATCTGCCAGACGGGGGACTCCGTGTCCCAGTCCGCGGCGGCCGGCGCGCTCAAGAACCTCTCCGCGGCGCCCGAGGCGCGGCAAGCGCTGGCCGACGAAGGGATCGTCCGCGTCATGGTCAGCCTGCTGGACTACGGCACCGTGCTGGGCTCCAAGGAGCACGCCGCCGACTGCTTGCAGAACCTCACGTCGGGCGGCGACAGCTTCCGGCGCGCCGTCGCGCACGACGGCGGGCTGCGCAGCCTGCTCCTCTACCTGGACGCGCCGTCGCCGCAGGAGTCCGCGGTGCGCGCGCTCGGGAACATGGTGGACGCCATCTCCCCCGACACCATCGTGTCCCTCGGCGTGCTCCCGCGGCTGGCGCACGCGCTCAGGGCCGGGTCAACCGGCGCGCAGCAGGCGGCGGCCGCGGCGATCTGCAGGATCGCGGCCAGCGGCAGCAAGGACATGAAGCGGCTGGTGGGCGAGCACGGCTGCATCCCACTACTTGTCCGGATGCTGGAGGCCAAGTCGGCCGGCGCGCGCGAGGTGGCGGCGCAGGCGGTGGCGAGCCTGGCGGCGGGGCACCCGGGCAACGCGCGGGAGGTGCGGCGGGACGAGAGGAGCGTGCCGAGCCTGGTGCAGCTGCTGGACCCCAGCCCGGCGAACACGGCGAAGAAGTACGCCATCGCGTGCCTGGCGACGCTGTCGCCGGCGAAGCGGTGCAAGAAGCTGATGGTCTCGCACGGCGCCATCGGGTACCTGAAGAAGCTGTCGGACATGGAGGTCGCCGGCGCCCGGGACCTGCTGGAGCGGCTGGAGGAGCGCGGCAAGCTCCGAAGCATCTTCGGCAGCAAGAACTACTCGTAAAAAGTAATTAAGTTAAGTTGACACCACCGAGCCAAGCTTACGATCAGTAGTAGTACAAGTACATGTTACCGTGCCAAGTTGTGTCGTTTTGCTGTATAGAAATCGCTATGTTAGGTGAATATACATTCGTTGTAAGATATGTTTTGTGATGGCCTGATGCTGGGTATGTTGGGCAAGTTCTAATAACCTCGTACACTTTACAGTGCTGCAGCATGTTAAATTAAATGAATAAAGATGGTACATATTCCATTCCTGCGAGTAATTCGTGTACACTTTACAGTGCTATTTTGGCATTTCAGGAAAAGAAAAGAAATATTCGCAAAAAAGGAGGACCCGGCTATCTAGAATATTTGTTCTGTGTGCCACACACTACTTTGTAGTACTTTCGTTGTCACTCGGTTGTCCATTTGTGAGCTCGATTTTGCTGTACGTATCTTTGCCAACCAAACAACACTTCGGGGAGAAGATGACACGGAGATCACATTGGACGGTCCTCTGTACACTTGTGCTGTTGTATGGCTCTGAAGGCCTGTACTTGTCCATCATCAAAATAGAAATATCCACATTGAAACGTGGTACGACCGATCTTGGCCCGCTTTCACATGAGCTCAAATCCAGCGTTTGCGTTTGCCGATGCCCACTTGGTACTTTTTTTTTAACAGGATGCCAATTTGGTACTGAACCCAGTAGGATGATCCCAGCTAAAGGGCAAATCCTATGATATGAAATTTTGGGGTTATCTAAATATGATGCCCATTGGATTGTCTAAATATGAAATTTTGGGGTTGATCCTACGATCTCACCTAAAGGGCAAATCCTATGATAGTCTTCCGCCTGTTTTTTCCTAAACCACATGTTTGAGGGTTCAATCAATTGTTAATAGAGAAAAAGGGATTTGTCCAGTAAATTGATGGAGAACCATGCAAAAATCGTCACAACCATTCGACCAATCACACACAAGATACATCGCAAAAATCATTGCTAAGAAAAACTCATCAAGGCTGCACATTACTGTCATCGTCATTATTTTCCTTCAAGCAAACGACTCAAACTTCATAGTAAATGACTACCTACCAAACCCGCGCCGCACAAGCTATGAGGAGCCAATCGGCCGCATGTGTCGACATTGCACATCTTCGATTTTAGCAATGAGGTACAAAAAAGAATATGAAAGATAATATGATAGGTTGTCGTCGTGGAAGATATTGAACAAACCACTTGTCGCCCGTCATCGCAATTCGAACTTCACACCGACAAACAACCTAAGACAACCCCGCAACACACCGAAGAGCCGGCTACTACAACCTTTGCCGCGACCCAAACCATCCTCGCCCCCGCTGTCGTTGCCACAAAAGTCTTGACGCCATCACCGTTGTCTTCCATTGGTCACAACCGCACCCATTGTGATGAGCTCCATCATCCTCACGCATCCACTTGTCCCTTAGATAACCCACAAGTATAGAAGATCAGTTGTAGCTTTTTCGATAAGTAAGAGGGTCGAACTCTACGAGAAAGTAAAGGTAGAATTAATATTCTCTCAAGTTCTATCAACCACTGATATAACACTACTACACACTTAACATTTTCTTTACCTAGAACTAGAATTAAAAACTACTTTGCAAGAATAAAAAAATAGCTTTGCAAGAATATAAAGAGTTAGGTGTTGTTTTAGTAAAAGACAATAAAGTAAAGTGTTTTGGAAGAAAACTAAATAAAATGATTGTCCCTAGGCAATTGGATATGAAACGATACTCATACTCATCATACTTATGCGGGAGAGGCCTAATCTAACATACTATTCGTACTAGGATCATACGTTTTTATGATTGGAACTTTAGCTAGCATGCGCAACTACCATAGATTCAATAAGATAAAACCCAACCATAACATTAAGTTCTAAGGTCCCCATTAATTCCATATGCAACAACTCATGAACTAGGGTTTAGGTTTCTATCACTCCCGCAACCCATCATAAGCAACTCAATTCACACATTGCAACATCCTATAGTGTGAATCCCACATGTGTGCGTGAAACGGCGGGCACCATAGGACAACACCATAATAGCATACATCTCATACTAACCATAGCATATCAAGTTGGGTTTTTATCATTTATGCCATCGGTTGTGTCCCACTACTCAGTTTTGCCACTAGGAATTTCAATTGCTCAAAAATGCCATCGCTTTGTTAGACACATGTTCAAAAATGCCACTGGGCACCATTATTGTGATCTCAAATCTCTTTTGCCATGTTATAATGACATAAATACCTATGAACCAGCATGCCAGCTCTCCTTCTAACTCACTACAATAAAGTGTGGGGCCCACTTGATCAGAACGACGTTCTTATTTTCCTATAAAATTATTCGCTTGGTTACTCCTGACAAGTGGGGCCACACTTATCATTGTGAGATAGAGAGAACTGACATGTGGGTCTAGGCTTATTTTTGTCATATAACATGGTCAATGAGTTTGATGTGAAAATAACGATGTCTAATGGCATTTTTGAGGAAACATCTAACGGAACGATGGCATTTTTGAGCAAACATCTCACGGATCGATGGCATTTTTGAGTAGTTGTAACTTCTAATGGCAAAACTGAGTAGTGGGACACAACTAGTGGCAAAAATGATAAAAACCCTATCAAGTTAACCCATAGGATAAAAAGAAACTACTCAGACATAATAGAGATGCAACACATCATTGGATAATAACATATAGCATTGAATGCCATGTTTAAGTAGAGATTACAACGGGGTGAGAGAGAGTACACCGCTGCATGGAGAGGGATAAAGATGTTAATGGCAGCGGCGAAGTTGACGGAGATGATCACCATCACGACGGTTCCCCCAGCGATGCTCCGGCGCCACCGGGAGAGAGCTCCCCTCTTCCATCTTCATGGTAGGCCTTCCCCCTAGATGGGGGAAAGATCCCCCCCTGGTCATTGACCTTCATGGCTCCCGGAGGGCGGGAGTTCCTCCGGGATTGGAT